GGTACAGGTGGTGGGGCCACAACCCCGATCCGCCCGGCTCTGTTCGTGACAGGGGAAGGCACCCCAACCCCCTGATCAGCCCTGCTCTGTGCCTGATAGGGGGGAGCTCCGCAACCCCGATTGCCCAGTGGCTCTGTGTGTGATAGGGTGAGGTGCCCCAACCCCCTGATTGGCCCTGCTCTGTGTGTGACAGGGTGCGGCGCCCCAACTCCCTCCCCCCCTCCCCCACAGGCCCTGCTCTGTGTGTGATGGGGTAGAGCCATAACCTCCCCATCGGCCCTGCCCTGAGTGTGAGAGTGGCGGTGCCTCAACCCCCTGATCCGCCCTGCTCTGTGTGTGACAGGGGGCGGTGCCCCAACTCCCCAATCAGCCCTGCTCTGAGCCCGACCAGTGGCTGCACCTAGGGATTGGGCCTGCCCTCTGCCACCCGGGAGCAGACCTAAGCCAGCAGGTTGTTATCTCCCGAGGGGTCCCAGACTACGAGAGGGCTCAGCAGGGCTGAGGGCCCCCCCTCCCCCCTGAGTGCACATATTTTTGTGCACTGGGCCTCTAGTCCTATATAATAAAAGGCTAATATGCAAATAGACCAAACAGCAGAACAACCAAATAACCAGTCGCTATGATGTGCGCTGACCACCAGGCGGCGCATGCGGAACATGGCTGGCATCTGCTGTGGTGGGATGGTGGAGCAGGTGAGCTAGAGCACCAGACTAAGGCTGGGAGCTGGTTGCTGTCATCATAGCGAGCCTCTGGTGTTTACTGAAAATTCTTTGCTCCCGTGCACCATAATCCTGCCTGGTGCTTGCACCTGCTGCTGGCACTGGCCCCTCTGGCACCCGCTGCCAGCCCCAGAGCCACTGCTTGCACTTGCTGATGGTGTCGGCCCCACTCACACCTGCTGCTGGCTCTGGACCCAATTGCTCTGCGCTGTTAGCAGTCTGGAGCAGACGGCACCGTCAGCGTGTGGGAGTGATTGCGGCGGGAGTGGGGCTGCCGGCAGACAGGAGGCCAGGGGCATGGCGGGAGGGGCCAGGCAGAGGCACAGAGGATGGGCGGAGACCCGCCCCTGTGCCCACAGCAGCCTCTGCAGCCCACAGTTCCTTTCAAGGTGCATGAATTTGTGCAGTGGGCCCCTAGTTGGTTAATAAAATTATATAGGTTTCAGGTGTATAATTCTATAATACATCATCTGTATATTGCATTGTGTATTCACCACTCCAAGTCAAGTCTCCTTCCATCACCATTTACCCCCTCTATATCCTCTTCTGCCTCTCCCCACCTCCTTACACCCATGCTGTTATCTATATTTATAAGTTTTTATTTTTCTTAATCTCTTTACTTTTTCACCCAGCCCCACAACCCCCTCCCTTCTGACAGCTGTCAACCTGCTCTCTATGGATTAATCTATTTTGTTAGCTAGTTTATTTTGTTCATTAGATTCCACATATGAGTTAAGTCATATGGTGTTTGTCTTGCTCTAACTGGCTTATTTCACTTAGCACAATGCTCTTCAGGTCCACGCATGCCATCACAAAGGGTAAAACTTCCTTCTTTTTTATGGCCGAGTAGTACTCCATTGTGTAGCTGTACCACAGCTTTTTATCCACTCATCTGCTGATGGGCACTTAGGCTGCTTCTGAATCTTGGCTATTGTAAATAATGCTGCAATGAACAAGGGGGTGCATATATTCGTTTGCATTAGTTGGAACCAGACTATTTCTTAGCATTTCTTCTCTTTGTCCAAGCCACCCAATTACTGCAATAAACTCCTAGCAGATTTCCTGCTTTTGCATGTGTTTTTTTCTTATCTTTGCACCTAGCTAGAGTAATTCTTTTAAAAGTCAAGACATTATGTCAAGTGTCTCTTTCTTGACAAGAGTGAATACAATCACCTATAAGACTCTGACAAAATTTACATCTTTTAACTAATCCCATCTACTTACTCTATTCTAGCCATTCTAGCCTCTGCTCTTCCATAAACTCAACTCAAGGCCTTTGTACTTACTGTTTTCATTGCCTGGAATTTCCTTGCTCCTCATCTATTTCAAATCTTTGTTCAAATAAGGCTTTTCCTGATCACTGTATTAAAATGAACCCTAACCCCCCATAGTAATACCCACCCACATTACCTGCTTTATTTTTTCCCATAGCATTTGTCACCTGACATTA